AATTGCGCGTTGACGTTGCGCTTGGATGTTGCGCCCAAGATACAGGGTTTGCTGTGAGCTCTATTGGGGCTGCCGGAGCTGCGCCCAGCGTAGCTCAAGACTCTCCAGGCGGCCAGCGCTTGTGGAGGCTCGTGGCGCCGACCGTCGCGCAGCACGGCTCCGAGCACATCTGCTGCCCGGGTCCGCCGGCTCGCTCGCCAGAGCCCCTCCCCTCGAGCACGGCGCTATCAGGCCTCAGCAGCGGGAGCGGTGCATCACGATGGCTCGAAAGTTCAACGACGGGTGCCCTGTCGTGAGGATCGCCCTGAGCGTCGCGCCGCTGCTCGAGCGGGGCCTGGCCCGGTGTCTCCACGCCCCCTTCTACGACGGGGAGGTCGTCGAGCAGGCCTCGGCCTGGCTGGCTGCCCTGGCCCACCTGGAGGCCCATCGGCGGCCGCCGACAGATCTGGTACATTCGGTGGCCCGCAGTGCTCTATATACGACTCCGCCACGGGGGGGTCTTGCCGAACCCGCAGGAAGAGCAGGTCCCGAGCATGACGCACGCGCACGACGAGTGCTTGGTGAACGACAGCCCGGACTTCAAGTGGGCCGACACCGTGCTGGAGCACCTGCGCGCCCGCGCTCCTCTGTCCGAGCCGATGGCCGCCTTGGACCCCGCGAAGTGGATTGCCCAGGTGCACTGGCTCGACCGGGCTCTGCAGTCGACGGCCAGCCACTGCGCGGGGCATATTGGCTCCGTGACCCCGCAGCCGCACCTCGCGCGGCAGCTGCTAGCGGCGGCATGTTTGCCCTAGAGCTCTTCGCGGGCCAGGCTCGTTGGAGTGCAGCTTGGCGTTCGTGCAGGCCCTTGTCGGGGCCCCTTGTTTTCTCGATTGATATCCGCGCGGGCCCCGCCCACGACTTGAACAATAGACGTCTGTGTCAACGTATCCGGGGATGGGTCCGCTCGGGCCTCGTCGCGGCCCTCTGGTTGGGAACCCCATGTACCACTTTTTCGGCTGCTAATCGAGAAGGATGGCGTACCGCTCATCATCTAGGCGTTGTTCCTGATCTCTCTCTTCGGGTTCGTGCTCGTGTGGCGGAGGGGAATTACCTGGCATCTGTATCTGCAGGACTTTTTAGGCTCGCTCGGTCTCAAGGCATCCCAGTGACCATCGAGAACCCCCACACCAGCCGCCTTTGGAGTCTCTCGTGTTGGCAGCAACTTCTGAGGCTTTCCGATGTCGAAAGTGATTGATTATTGCGTTTACGGGATGCCTTGGCGGGAGCGCACACGGTTTGTCTCTGCTAATGTTCGGCTCGGTCATCTTCAGCGTCTTTGTTCCGGTCGCAAACTTCGTGAATTCAGTGGGCGACCTCATCCTTCTGCAGGGGCATGACCACTTCTGGCCGGCATCGGACGCTTCAGGCTGAACCGTGCCCGCCGCGGCTCTGTCGCCAGATCGTCACCGCCTTCTCTTTCGTTATCCGGTCAACCTCATCTAAACCTTGGGAATAGTGGAGGGGCTGCGGTAATACCAGGGGTTATGTTTGGAGGAAATAGGCGATTTGGGTTTTCAGGCTGGTATTCGAATATCCTGTCCAGCCCGTTTCTCTTGAGTGCTGCACGGTGGCACTCGAGCCCAGGTGGTGCTCTCGGCACTGGCAGCACACAGATCGAATCAGCGACACTGATGAGGAAGACATCCTGGCCTGGCATTAACACGGGACACGGAACATTGGAGTGTGTTTCATGTTATTGTTCTCTGGAAAGCTGTGATGGTAAGGCCGCTTCTCTCTCCGTAATCATCCTGGCTTCAAGCACCCACAGACTCCGTTTTAATGTTTTGCACTCTGTCTTCCCAGCCCTCCCTCTCAGCCGCCTTTTAGGGCGAGAAACCGATCCTGGGTTTTCAGGGTGGTATTCGAATATCCTGTCCAGCCCGTTTCTCTTGAGTGCTGCACGGTGGCACTCGAGCCCAGGTGGTGCTCTCGGCACTCGCAGTACACAGATCGAATCAGCGACACTGATGAGGAAGACATCCTGGCCTGGCATGAACACGGGACACGGAACATGTTCATGATGGCCTTGTCAGGCCAACCGAGTCCCTTGAGCCCGAGTCTTGCGTCTCCCCGATAGAAGCAGCTTCCTTCTTAGGGAGCCTTTCCCCCTCCCCCTGCCCTTGTGTTGCGCGCTGCCAGGGGCCACGCACTGATGAGCTCGAGACGTCGGAGGTCTGGGATCTCCCGCCCGGGCATCGGGGGTCGAGGAGAAGGGAGGATCGGGCGGCGGCGAGGACGAGGACCTGCCCGTTCCAGAGCGCTCCGGGACGCTCTCAGAGCGTGCTGGAGCGCACTGTGAAGGCCGCACCCGAAGCTGTCCTCGTCTTGGCTTCGTCTAGAATCAGGTCGGGCGTGTCCCCTACAGGCGGCTTTTGGAGGAGAAATTAAAGATACTCCAAACATGTATAAAAATATGTATATAATCGTCCCCGCATTATTTTTCAATACTTTGACGATTTCTTCTGTGGGGGACAGGCCCGGCTTAAGTCTGGAAGGGGGGAGGGAGTCGAAGGCCGGCCTCGGAGAAAAACGCAGAGCCGCCACGGAGCAAGCGGGTTTCCCGGAGACCCCAGAGGTGATCGTTTTCGGGAGCCTTGAGACGGGGGTCAATGCAAACGGGGGGTCAAACAGAGCGCCCGGCCTTGCAGGATCCTGCAAAGCGGGGGCGCACTGACCCGGGCTTGGGTGCAGGATCCTGCAGGGTCCTGCGGGCCCTTTCGCATTGACCCGGGCTTGGGTGCAGGATCCTGCAGAATCCTACATGGTCCTGCAAGGCTTGACTGGCCCGGGTCTGGATTGACCCGGGCCACAAGACCCCCGACGTTTTTTCATTCGTTGTTTTGCCGATCGGGGCGGGCCCACGCACCCCCCCCCCCCCAAAGGCCGCCACAAACGTTGGCTCGAGCTTCCAAACAGACTCGCCCAAGTGTTTTTTTTGTTCGTTGTCTTGTCGATCGGCGCGGGCCCTCGCACGCCCCCCCCCCCCCCCCCTCTTGGAGTGGATCTTGGCTGTTTTTTTGGCGCCTGTTTCGAGCGGGGGAGTCTCCCCCATTCGGCCGCCGCACGGTTCCAAACAGCCGCACTAAGCACAGAGGTCCGCCCCCCCCCCCCCCCCCTCTTCCCAATGTCGCAATGCCGTATAAAAAGACTGCTCACGAGGTCATGATTTTTGCATGACGCGACCCCCAGCGGTCTCGACCCATTCTCGGGGACCGGCTTCTCATCTTGAGTTGTTGCTTGATGGTCCTGAGGGCCAGTGAGGGCCCCCGGGGACCGACAACAACGAAAAGCCGCCCGTCGTGACTGTTTTTTTTCCCAGCCCTCCCTTCTTGGTTGGGCTCTCGTGTTGAACAGAGCAGTGGGGTCGCTGGCTCCCGTCTCCTCCTCCTCCTCCTCCTCCTCCTCCTCCTCCTCTTCCTCCTCCTCCTCCTCCCCCCCCTCTGCTCTCCTCTCGGCCCACTCCTCTCGCATCCCTCTTGGGGGCTGCGAAGTGTGAAACTGTCGCCACGTTCGAGGGCTGCGGGGGCGGGGACCAGCACAGTGGGGTCCCACGCAGACCCAAACGGGACCTCGCGCTGCGAAGTCTGAACTTGTCGCCACTTTCGAGGGCTGCTGGGGGGGCCAGCGCAGTGGGGTTCCACGCCTCAACGTGCAGTTGGCAAGGCGGCGGATCAATGTTCACAATCATACGCCTCAGGGGGTCCCAGCCAAAACGCCCTGCCCGCCCTAACGACGCCGCTGGTGGTGCAATGCGGAAGGCTTGTTACCATTGAAGACGGATGGGGAGAGGGGTTGGAGGAGGAAGAGGGGATATGCTAGGGGCCTCCTCCGCACTTTTCCCCCTGCTCCGCTCGCTTCCTCCTCCGTATCAGATCCCTGCCCCTCCACCTCATACCCCCCTCTCTTCCCCTCCTCCCCCCTCCCCCCTTTTCTTCCTCCATCCCCGTTCCCCACTGCTCACATTCCCCCCTCGCCCCTCCGCTCCCCCTCCTCCTCCCCCCCTCCTCCTCATCCTCTTTCTTCGACTCTCCTCCCTCCTCCTCGTCCTCCTCCCCTCCTCCTCACTAATCCCCCCCCCTCCTCCTCCTCCTCCTCCTCCTCCGCCTCCTCCTCCTCCTCCTCCTCCTCCTCCTCCTCCTCCTCCTCCTCCTCCTCCTCCTCCCCCTCTGCTCTCCCCTCGGCCCACTCCTCTCGCATCCCTCTTGGGGGCTACGAAGTGTGAAACTGTCGCCACGTTCGAGGGCTGCGGGGGCGGGGACCAGCACAGTGGGGTCCCACGCAGACCCAAACGGGACCTCGCGCTGCGAAGTCTGAACTTGTCGCCACTTTCGAGGGCTGCTGGGGGGGCCAGCGCAGTGGGGTTCCACGCCTCAACGTGCAGTTGGCAAGGCGGCGGATCAATGTTCACAATCATACGCCTCAGGGGGTCCCAGCCAAAACGCCCTGCCCGCCCTAACGACGCCGCTGGTGGTGCAATGCGGAAGGCTTGTTACCATTGAAGACGGATGGGGAGAGGGGTTGGAGGAGGAAGAGGGGATATGCTAGGGGCCTCCTCCGCACTTTTCCCCCTGCTCCGCTCGCTTCCTCCTCCGTATCAGATCCCTGCCCCTCCACCTCATACCCCCCTCTCTTCCCCTCCTCCCCCCTCCCCCCTTTTCTTCCTCCATCCCCCGTTCCCCACTGCTCACATTCCCCCCTCGTCCCTCCGCTCCCCCTCCTCCTCCCCCTCCTCCCCCCCCTCCTCCTCCTCTTCCTCCTCCTCCTCCTCTTCCTCCTCCTCCTCCTCCTCTTCTCCTCCTCTCCTCCTCCTCCTCCTCCTCCTCCTCCTCCTCCTCCTCCCCCTCCTCCTCCTCCCCCTCCCCCTTCCCCTCCCCCTCCCCCATCCCCGTCCCCATGTGCGCTCTCTTTCAAGGCAGGCGAGGGGCCGAGACGAGAGAGAGGCGGCCCCGCGGGCCGAGGTGACCCCGAGCTCGCTGCTGCGGGTCTCCATGCACCGATCCCCGCCACTGTCGCCGAAGCCGCCCCCGCCGCTGGCGTCCTCGGAGGCGGTGCAGGACTTCCGCCCAGGGAGGGGGGGGGAAGGAGAGGCAGCGACACGGTGGGATGGTGGGGAGGAGAGGGATGAGAGGCAGGAGAGAGAGGAGAGGGAGGCGAAGGATGAGGATGTGGATGCTGGTGCGTGGATGCTGGTGCTGATGCCGGTGTCGATGGTGATGCTGATGCTGATATTGATGCTGATGTTGGTTGCGTTGATGAGGATGAGGATGAAGATGAGGATGCTGACTATGATGGGGATGATGATGAGGATGATGATGCTGATACTGATGCTGATGCTCATGCTGATGCTGATGGTGATGCTGCTGCTGATGATGATGATGATGGTGATGGTGATGATGATGCGGATGCTGCTGGTGATGATCAGGATGATGATGCTGATGATGACGATGCTGCTGATGGTGATGATGCTGATGCTGATGAGGGTGATGCCGATGCTGATGATGATGCTGATGTTGATGATGATAATGCGGATAATGATGATGAAGCTGATGGTGGTGGCGATTATGATGCTGGCGGTTGTTGTGGGACAAATGCTGACGATGAGAATAAGAGTGAGAATGATGGCGATGATACAGATGGTGGTGCTGATGATGATGATGGTGACGATGCTGATGATGATGGTGATGATGATGGTACGGATGCTGCTAATGATGATGACGATGTTGATGGTGGTGGTGGTGGTGACAGTGATGATGATGTTGAGGTTCATAATGAGGGTTGGCCATGGTGATGCTGATGATGCTGATGCTGCTGATGATGGTGGTGATGATGATGCTGCTGATGATGATGATGTCACTGATGATTATGCTGCTGCTGATGATGGTGGTGGTGATGGTGTTAATTGTGGTGGTGACAGTGATGAGGATGAGGATAAGAACTCATGATGTTGACAATGTTGATGGTGCTGGTGGTGGTGACAGTGATGAGGATGAGGATCAACATCAGGGTGGTGGCGATGATGATGATGATGCTGGTGAAGATGATGATGATGTTGATGCTGCTGATGATGACGATGATGATGTTGATGATGCTGATGATGATGGTGATGGTGATGTTGATGATGGTGATGATGATGGTGGTGATGGTGATGAATATGATGATGACGTTGATGATGACGATGATTATGATGATGACGGTGATGATGATGCGTGATGATGATGACGGTGGTGATGGTGGTGGTGATGGGTAATGATAAGGATGATGATGATGACGATGTTGATGTTGATGATGATGATGATGATGATGATGATGATGATGATGATGATGATGATGATGATGATGCTGGTGCTGGTGCTGGTGCTGGTGCTGATGCTGATGCTGATGCTGATGCTGATGATGATGATGATGATGATGATGATGGTGGTGGTGGTGGTGATGATGATGATTCTCCCCCGCAATGGCAGTCCCTCCCCTAAAGTTGCACTTCTAGTACGGCCCGAGAATCCCCAGGACTTCTCAGCTACACGTAAGAGTGGCCCTTCCCCAGGGTGACCTTCGGTGCGGGCCCACTGGGGTCCCCCGACCTCCGAACGCGATGCGGTCGTAGCGTCTTGCGCGCTTGTGTTTGATGCCCCCGCGGCCCACGAAGAGCCGCACCCCCAAGGTCACACTTACGGTGGGGGCGTTCGTTAAGGAATGCGCCCAAGAGCCTTCAGACCCTTGTCGGATGAGGGCGGCGGCGGTACCCATGGCCGATCCACAATCGGAGTTCCATTGGCTTCCAGACCCTGGATTCCTGATCCAAGGTTTCCTTATCCAGAGCGCCCGCTGTACTCAGGGTCACTCTTGCGCGTAGCCGAACTGCTTCGAACAGCTTCGGAATCATCCGATGGCCTGTGCCCCCCCCCCCTCTCGCAGGACGCCCTGCCGCCGCTGCGGCGGCCCGCGCCCTCCCCGGAGAGGAGCCCCCGCGAGGCACCTCGTCGTCGTCGCCCGTCGTCGATCGTCGTCGTGCGTCGTCTGTCGTCGTGCGCCGCCGTCGTCATCGCCGCTGTCGTCCGTCGTGCGTCGTCGTCGCGCGTCGTCGCCCGCCGTCGTCCGCAGAGCGCCGGCCCCTCGCCCCCCTTGAGGCGGGGGCGACCACCCCGCGCACGTCGGTGGCGCCGGAGGGCCCCAGCTTCAGCGGCATGGCGGTGGAGTCGCCGACGGTGGCCCGCGGCGCACGTACATGGGGGGGTGGCGCACGAGCTGTCCTCGTCGTCGTCGTCGTCTTCCTCCTCCTCCTCCTCCTCCTTCTCCTCCTCCACTTCCTCCTCCTCCTCCTCCTGTCCTCCTCCCCCACCTCCTCCTACCTCGTCCTCTCCCTCCTCCTCCTCCCTCCTCCTTCCTTCCCTACCTTCTCTTCCCTTCTCCTTCTCCTTTTCCTTCTCCTCCTCCTTCTCCTCTCCTCTCACCTCCTCCTCCCTCCCTCCCTCCCGCCTCCTCCTCTCCTGCTCCTCCTCAGCCCCTCCTCCTCCTCCTCCTCCACCTTCTCCACCTCCTCCTCCTTCTCCTCCTCCTCCTTCTCCTCCTCCTCCTCCTCCTCCTCCTCCGCGCGCGGCGGGGCGGGCCAGCCCCGGGCGGGCGGCGGGGCGGGAGGGCCTGCTAAGGAGGCGCACCGTCCCCCGGAGGGCATTGCTTTTGCAACAGGGGGGGTGGGGCCGGGGGGGGGCGAGGGGGCGAGAAGGGGGAGGGTGGGGAGGAGCAGGGGAAGGGGGATGATGGGGAGCGGAAGGGCGCGAAGGGGCGAGAAGGGGGAGGATGGGGAGGAGAAGGAGGGAGGGGGGGCAGGAGGAGGAGGAGGAGGAAGAGGAAGAGGAGGAGGAGGAGGAGGAGGAGAAGGAGGAGGAGGAGAAGGAGGAGGAGGAGGATGGGGCAGGAGGGGGGCGGGGCGGCGTCCGAGGAGACGTACCATGCCGCTTCTCGGAGGGCCTGGCCCCTCGCCTTAAGTTGGGCCTGTTCCTCTGAATGGTCATAGTCTGGGGACGATTGTTTGAAGAATTCAAAAGGAATCGTCTGCGGAGGTTCCTTTTCAGACGATTCCTGAAAAGGAATCGTCTGCGGAGCTGCCCGCCAGCGGTGTCTTACCAGTATCTCCTCCTGCGTCCCGCGCTGGGGCATGTGTGAAGACCGCCGATCGCTCAGGTAAGAAAAAAAAACAAAAAAACAAAAAAGGAATCGTCTGCGGAGGTGTCGAATACCGTCCCCAAAAAAGAACGTCCGATAAAATCACGTCCCTCTAAATCGGCAGATAGTCTGGGGCCGAGTCTTTGAAGAAGTCAAGCGAAATCGTCCGCGAAGGGGACGGACATCGTTCAAAAAAGGTCGCGGAGGAGACCAGTAACGTCCCAAATAACGTCCCAAAAACGTAATTTCCCCGCGGTAGGTCGTAGTCAGGGGGGGGATATTCACAAATGTTCAAATAATAATCTGGGGGCGATGTTTTAAGCATTTCTTGTCTACTGGGGGGTATTCTTCGAGTATTTTTAATGTTTGTGTCTGGAATCCGCCTGTAGGGGACATGCCCGACGTAACCTTCAGTTGGGCCTGTCCCTCTACAAGAGGAAGATTCCAAAATAGTAAAATAATCGTCTGGGGGCGATTTTTGTAGCATGTTTCTGCTGTTGGGGGGCACTTCGTCTTTTTCATGTTTCGTCCAAAATCCGCCTGTAGGGGGACCTGCCCGACCCAGCCCTCGCCTCAGGCGGCCGATGGGCTGCCGAACCAGGCGTGCCGCCCCTCCTTAGCCCTTGTGCCGTCCACGGGGCCTCCATCCCAAACAGCCGAGGGGCTGATCTCGGCAATCCGGGCGATCTCCCGCAGCTTCGGCATCTGTCACCAGGGGACACAGAACCACGACCACCAGCTCGGGGGGGGTGCCTATGGGAACGGAGCTCTACGGAGTTCTGGTGGTGGTGCCTCTGTTTGCCTTCATGACTCTGGTGGCCCGTTTTCTAGCCCAGGGGCCATCAACAATGGGCCTGGGCAAAAGGATGGATCTTGTCAATCTGGGCGCTCTCCCTCGGTTCTCTGTCCTCGGGGGCCCTGCTCGAGCCTCTTCGGGTCCTCCAAAAATAGGCCTGGGGTGGGAAGGCTGTCCCGGCAGAGGTGATCGGGAGCCCTGGGACCGCGGAGTGCACGATCACACTGCGGGACGTTTGGATTCCAGAGCGATATGATCGCTAGCGTTCGGAGGTCCGCGCGGATTTCCTGGGGCGGTGCCGCCCCTGACGCGCCCCAGGCAGGGGTGGCCCAACGCAGACCCAGGTTCACTCATGTCGTCATCCTTTCCCTTTATTGAAGCCTTTCGTGCCTTCCAAGAAGCCTTCCCCGAGCCCTCTCTTGGAAACGGCATGGCTGTGTTTTCGTTGTCTGTTTTCCATGTGCCGTTTGTTTTACGGTTCTGGCGTTTTGCTTCTGGCTTGTTTTTGGTTCAGGCTCTGGTTCCAATCCCGGAGCTGTTTCTGTTTCGTTTTGTCGGGCGGTCGGCAATGGGGGGCGATAAATGGAACGGCGTCGAGGGTTGCACGGAAAGGGCCCTAAAGTGGCCCTAACCGAGCCCCCTGGGGCCCCGAAGGGGTACGAAAGGTTCACGAAATGCGCAGTTTTCTTCCCCCCCCACCACCTATCGCCCCCCCATTAGTGAACGCCCGATTCTGGCGGGCAGTTGATTGCCGTCTTCACTCTCGAGATCAAGCTTTCCGGCAACGGTCCAAAAACGGCCCTGCCGCTTCCAGGACCACTGATGGCGGGCCCTCTCTGCGAACCCCCCCCCCCGCCTGCTTGGACGCCCGCCCATCTCGCCCTGGGCCTACCCCCCTGCGCGCGCCGCCCCAGGTGGACATGACGCCGATGAGGCCCAACTTCGTGCGCTGCGTGCAGGCGATGAGAGAAATCGGCAGAAACAGAACCGTACGGAGGTCCCTGCGAATTTCTTGGATCTGCGTTGGGCCCCCCCGCGACGCCTCGCCTCGCCTGGCGCGCTCCGCGCGCCAGGGAAGGGGGCCCAGCGCCGATCCGAGAAATTCGCTCGGAGTTTGGAAAGCTTATGTTACATGCAGTTTCTTCCTGCTCAAGTTTGGGTATGCCGGTCCAGAGGTCCCTGGAGACTTCTGGGGCAAGGGAAGGGGGACGATGGCTGGAATCGGCGGGGGACCCGAATTGGCTCCGGCCAGCAGCAAGGGAGGAG